GCCTCTATTTTCATGTAAACATTCGAAATTCTTCGACAGCAAAGTAGCAACTGTTTTAGATCGAATGCACACGGACAGCCCACCAGAGACAATGGCAGGGTACTGAAATAGAACGTCACTAAAAAATTCTGTATGATTCAATTTAGATCATGTCTATTTTCAACATAAAACAGTCATTTATTTTGTACAAACATTTGGCAATATTTACACGATTGTGCTATTTTGTAAACACGCGTTGCGTGTATTCCACGCCATTGCGTGGTTCATTTTACTCGCGCGTGCTCGGACAAATTTCCCACCTGTTGAACAGTAATACTTTAGTTTAATAGTGTCCATGGAATTTTTTCCATGATTGGCAGAAAAGTACAAAAACAAATTTTACAAACAATACACTAGATTTCTAAGTAGACAAAGAACTTGTAGCGTCAGAATAACATTTAGTCTAATGGCTTCTCTATATTTCTAGGTGTCAGATATAATGCACTCGCTGTTTGGATGTTATAAAGAGTCTACTCTACCACTATTTGAAAGGTTGATACACGACTTTCATGCATTACTGGTAAGTTTTTATACGAAATAACTAGACTCCTATAACTAATAAATCGAATCAGGGATGGGGACCGAGCTTATGGGTGGGTTTTGGGATCTTGGATTCTAGTTTTGTTAAACAACCATTTTAGCTGCTGGTTTACTACCATGTTCTTCACGATAGTGCTTTGTGAAACCACCTATATTTGTGAAACCCACCTATATTTGTGAAACCCACCTATATATTTGTGAAACCCACCTATATTTGTGAAACCCACCTATATTTGCGAAACCCACCTATATTTGCGAAACCCACCTAACCAATTGTGTAACATCTTTTAGCATACGAATTCAGCGACAGACAGACAATGGTCATTATGTATATTCGATGATCTCATAGAACATGCTGGTCCTGTAAGTGAATGTTTGGCTGCGTCTGACTGTTGACTGATCAGTTGATCGATCGATAATTTTTTCCAGATTCTACTGTAAATCTAGGAATTATTATTCTCCATGTATAAGATCTTATGTATTCACAAAATGCATTATTATTTTGCCACTCCACTCGACTTCCATATAGTTTACAGTATATCTAGGTTACTCTATAAAGCATGTTGTTCAAAGGCCTGCATGGGGATCCCTTATTGGACATTCTCTGTGACCTGTCCTGGCTTAGTTCTCCATCCGCGCGTTGTAACTCACTAAAATATTTGTATTTAATAAGTTATTGGGATTATATACGGTTGGAGTTGGGGTCAGGATCATATTATATGATTTATTGATATAAAAAATAACTTGCGTAACTTTACAAAGAATGACTGACTGAGCAACAAAAATTATATGTAACCAATTTTGTTCCTAAAATAGTTATAACTATTATCTTAGGTAATAAATCTTAATTGAAACATCAACTATGTACATGTAGCTCATATGGTTTATAGTCTGAAATTGGAAATATTTTAAAAACGATGAGTGAAATTACAAACCTAGTATTGTAAGTTATCACAATTGTTAGACGTTGAAACCAATAGTCTTTATGGGCGTAAAATTTGCGTATCGTTTAGATGTTTTGGTATAGGTTGATGTTAGTTATGGCTATATTTGATTCAATTTGTAGGTTTCGTTCAAATATAAAGACTATTTCCTCAGACAGATGTTGGATTCTATTGTACATAGGACTACTGACGTAAGACAGGTGCGGATTTTTTATTTGAAAGAGGTATCTATATTGACAGCATCTCGTCACTCTAACTGCAGTCTTGTACCGTCTTCTTTGACATCGCGTTTCATTCAGTATATGAGTAGACCATGCAGTGTGTTTTTTAAGGAGTACATTTTTATGGATTCATTTAATAGACAGACCGGTTATATACCAAACTTTATTTAAGACTAGAAAGCTTTCCGATATGCCATGTAAAAATATGATTGTATTGTGGTTCACACCCATAAAGATTTATATAAACTTTTTATCCAGGCTGCGTCGTATGGTATTGGTGTTATGGCTCAATTTGGCGGAAAAGATTACGCTCCAACATTTTTAGGTAATTATAAACAAGTATACAGTACAATAACTCAATAAGCCGAATTTAAATGACATAAACTAGCTAGCCTGAGTAATTTACCTGGATTAGTGAACGCTTTTAGCTGGTAGAGGACTGGAAATTATAGTTTATATACCGAATATCGTAAACATACTCGTTTATATCAATTCAGCATCGAACAATAACAAAGAATATCAGGTTATAAGAAAGAATATCGAACCTTCCTTCAATTGTTTCGTAAATCACGTAGAGATCTGAACTGCGATGTTATTGTTCTTTTAGAGGCTCTCCCACTTCTCAGCCAGGTGGTCAACGATCCATCATCTAAATTACCTGAAAATATCGACGCGACAGAAAACGCGATTTCTGCTGTAACGAAAATCTGTAAATATAACAGCGGTAATATTTCGGTGGACGACATCATACCTGTGTGGTTGTCATGGTTACCTATCATAGAGGATAAAGAAGAGGCACCACACGTGTATGGCTATCTATGTGATCTTATACAGAGGTATGAAAAATGTTGCTGAAGCTTGTCATGAAAGATTTCTCCTATTATATGCCTTAAATTTAAACCAAATAAGATATGTATTTAAAGACATTATTAAAAGTTAAACTGGCCTATTAAAATTACTCGAACGAAGATCAGTTCGTTCTACCCGTGCGCTAGTGGAAAGAAATATGCTATGTCTATGTGTTACTCTATAACAGTTTGAAGTGTTAAACGTGTATTCAAAATATTCGAAATAACAACCTGGTTACCTACTTACCTGTCTATTTCGGGTAATTTTCACAAACGACGCGTAAAAACTGCTTACCTATCGCCTGCTACAAGTTGAGAAAGTACCTAAACGAACACCTTATTTTATGGAGATTGGAGAGATGACTATAAAAACCATAAATCTTCAACAGTAGTGAAAACGATTTTCGAATACTTCTTCCTTTTGTTAAACGGAGCTTCAAGGTCTCTTAGGTTGAATAATGAAGACGAGTAAGAAATACACAACCTGTCATGTACAGGTAAAACATTAGGAAGATTTCGAACCCTGATTCAATTCCATTAATAGGTTACTGCGTTATTACAGTATGCTGTCCGCAGTTCTTGCTTCCGTCTACAACTAAAATCTGTAAAATTTTACGGTTGTTGCCATCTTTAATGCCTTTGATATGCGTCACGTTTATGCTCAAGCTTCTCTGATAAGAATACATCTATCTAATACGATGTATGTAGGATGTACGATGAAGTTAAGACTAAAACATTGAGACTCATTGCAAGTGTACACATAAGAAGACTTTCCTCCTTTTTTCTACTTTAGTAATCATCCGATTGTCCTTGGAGAAAATTACAGTAATTTTTACAGAGTGCTGGGCATATTTGCGGTTGCTTTTAAATCTGATGTTTTAACAGACGATGATGAAATAAAACAGAGAATGATAGTTATTCTAAAACAGGCTCAGGTTAGTACTAATCCAACTTATAGTTCTTATCGCACTGGAACCTAAATCAGTTATACCTGTAATATAGTCGGAAATCCTTCATCGCGGGAGATTCAGGGTGCGGTAATCCGCATACTTACGTACGGAAATACGCCCTGCAATATTACGGTCTGGTACTTCTTTTTCTATACTCAGAGTACCATATAGGTATACGCGGCAACTCGCTATCTGCGTATATTTACAGCAAATTTTCCAAGGTATTCAAAGACGTAATTAAGTAGCTATATGTGTAAATCATGGCATGTCTTTGCATGAACACACTTCGTCATAATGAAAAATAAGTCCGGGTAATAAAAACACCACGTAGAAACAGCAGCAATCTTGTTTTTCTGGAACTTCTAAACTTTTCTGGACTAACTAAATGAAACAAACGTCATGGGAACAAAAGCAATAATGCCAATAACGTTTCTTTCACTTGCTTAGCCCAGAGAACCGTCAATGTTCTTCTGCATCCAATCCGGGATGTTTTGTAGAGACTCGACTGTGATTGTTCGCGTAATTTTTGCCTCAAATTCACAATAATAATTAAGGAATAATCGATTATTAAATTAATACATAATTATGACAATTAAATGGCTTAAAAATTAGTTGTATCGAGGTGATTAATCTTGGTTTTTAGGCTTCGCAAGAACTATGGACAAGCTGTCTATCAAAGTTGGATGAATCACAACAACAGATACTTATTAAAGTCGTCAATGGACAGCTGTAGATTTCGGCATAAAGGTAAAAAAAAAAATCCTGGCACGTGACTGTAACGTCTTACAGGGCTTGGGTGAACATGGTGCACACGTGAGACGATATACAGTAAACAACGAAAAAATATGGATGATGAACACTATAGCATCAGGTCCATGTAATAATAACAAAGCATGCCCTGTAACACAATAACACCAACCCGGATGAGTGTCTAAATAAGTATACATAAAACTGTGATTGAGTTTTCATCAGTAGCCACTCCATGTTGAATTCTCCATGCATTGTGATCTGTTCAGGGGGCATGCGTCATAATTTTCGGTCAGTTTTAGGCAGCATAAACTTTTCAGTTTTACTGAATTTGGCACGGCAGTCAATTTAATAGCATAATTTATTTCGCAACATAAAACGTGTTTGAGTGAATCTCGAACTAAATGCAATAAATACGACTACCTCGAATTGCAAGGGGGGACCAGTTTCAACAGCTAGAATAACAAAAAGCTAGAAATAACAAATAAAATCGAGCACGATTTTAATCTTATTCTTCATTATATGCTGCACGTCCTAAAATAGTTGATAACTTAACACAACTTTCAATTCCGGATTCTTGCCCAAGCTGAGCACAATGTATCGGGGATTCGATTGATCATATAGTGAATTTCACGACTTGTAATAAAGTTGGTTTTCTCGTTGACGTCACATCAAACTGCCAAGGCTATAAAGGTGTCTATTTTACATGTTTTGGTTTACATCACTTAGTAATCCCTAGTACAATATTTGAATGGATACATCAGTAGTATTACGGACGTGATACTGCCGCCATACTCAATGATATTGTGGATCATTATTCCACGTGCAATTCCCTGCTAGGTGATTGATTAACCCTGATTGCAACCTCTCTCCTCCGCAGAAGCTTACATGAAGTTTCTAGTGAGGGAAAAGTGAGCGCGCAAGGAGTGATGGGAAGAGCTAAATAAAGGAATCCTCTGCTACTTAATGCAATCAATATGGCGTCGTATATAATCGTTTGGAGTTCGATTCGATATTAACCTTCGAGGGTTAAACATGTTTTCCACTTTCCTTTTCAGTCGTACTTGAGTCTCCTGGAATGAATCCAATATCTTCTTCTGTCCACTTGCACCGAAAAATATTGAGAAATTGCAAATGAATATAAATGGATATGAGCCTCATATCATGAGCTATCTAATTATAAATATCCTCTAAATTGCAACATTTCGTTATAAAAATGACTCTACTGAACTTCGATACTCAGATTATGAAGATTTATTTCAATTTCTTCCACATTTCTGTCGATTTCAAGTTTAAAAAAAGGTCAAACAACTGGTTTGGTTCAAAAACCGTACTTCGTTGCATTATCTGGCAGAGCCTTTTCTGCTTCTATTCAATTTTTCCATCACACCGCGCGCGCTCACTTTTATTCCGGAAACTTCATGTAAGTTATTTGTAAATACTTAAGGAGGCTCTGCGGAGGAGAGAGGATTGCAACCGTAAAACCTCAGGTCTGCACGGCTGAAGCACCTTGACTTCCCAATCCCTTAAATCATCATTAAAGAAACTGTTCCGAATTGTGTGCTACTTTAGCGGAATTTCATTACCGCATATCAATATACACAAGTTAGCTCTGTAGCTTCTTACTATTTTTGTGACAAAATGGGAAAACCATCTTTGCAACAAGTTGAACGCCATTGGTAGATTATATCCACTTGAGTCGATAAGACTGGCTTCCATCTTGTCATGTTTGGTGATGAGAAATAGTCTGCATCTTTCATGTGTTTTATAGGATGTTTGTAAATCACATTTTCTTCTATAACATCAGCAATCTTAAATGATATGGTCACAACTACCACGACCTAATAGAAAGCAAACTTATGAGCACATTAACCAGAAAGGCTCGAAAGGAACTGTATATACCTCTGAGGCTTATAAAGACAAAGCAGAATTATCTTTCATAACAGTAATTTTAACACGTTCTTACTGCTTTGAATAAATTATGACTGACCTATGACATGGTGAAAAAAAATGAGTTTTTTTAAAACCCTTGCGATTTACCAATGCTGATGAGCAAAAACCTGATAGCTCTGGGTACGAGATTGGATAGAGATTGTACGTAAATTAATTAGGCTAATCTTATGATTGATGATATGATGAGTGCAAAGTATCAAGTTATGTGGCATAAATCATTGTCTGCTCAGCTGTAACAGTGTAGTATTAATTTAACTTTTTCTCGACCTGCCCCCCTTTGGTATTTTACGATACAATTGTTTCTAATGTAAATATCTCGGCGAGTATTCCCCGTATGTCTATGAAACCTATACCGCCAGTACGACAATGTGCAGTATCATTTCCTTACGTGCCAAGCATAAGTAACGGTAAGACATGTCACTACCAAGGTAGTTGTGGCGGAAGACATACGATATTTCTCGCTTGACAAGATCGTCTACCGTTAAAAACGTAAAGGTATAAAGTTAATACAAAGTTTCCAGGGGTAATTACGATCACAGACGATCATTTGCTCTCACAGACAGTCCCGGTCGGTGTTTTATAGCAGAACCGGTCTAAGGTCACACAACTGGATTGACAATTAATAGCGATTCTTCATTTCTTCTGATATCCAAACTATCCAAAAAAAACTGATGTGAATCTCACAGCATTCAAACTGAACACACGATAACACATAGGAACCAATAGCGTAGGCTCTGACGATACACAATGAACAAAAAGATCGTGTCCTTCCAATACTGAAGCTTTATGGCTGGTGAATCGGCTTTACAAATCCGCCATATCTCTCACTCTTGTTGTTTTGATAGTGAAGATCAAGCGAACAATAAGCGCCCGCTCGTGGAAAATCAATAATATATAATTATCGCAATGTATCACAATACGCTCGTGGAAAATCAATAATATATAATTATCGCAATGTATCACGATATAGTGACCACTCCTGGCCCCAGGCCTAAAGCGCATCACACATGTTTCAGCTGCTTGACTGGCGTTTCAGCGCCCATTCTTATAGACGCCCTGGTGTTACTCACCGCTGTTCAAAGCAAACTTCAATATACAGACTATACAGGTAAGCCTCATTTATTGTTTAAAAATTTTAATTAATGTTGTTTTAGTCAACTAAAACTAAAACCCTATTTTAGTCGTGACAAAATAATTTAGTCCACTAAAACTAACTATAGAACTAAATAAATTAAAGAGATAAATACTGAAATTAAACCAGAACTAAAGGATTTAAGAGATAAATACTAGAACTATACTAGAACTAAAGCAAAATCAGCAGCAATTACTACAGGGTGTATAAAAAAAACTGAACAGATTTGAAATTGCTCTTAATTTCGCAAAACAACTATTAGTATCCACTTTTTGGTGTATATAGCTTCTTTGGGTATTTATAATGTAGAATAATAAAAAAAATTCTCGAACTCAAATTTTGTGAACCAGGGGGGTGTCTTTTCCAACAAACTAAAATTGGCTTGCGCACGAAATTTAAAAGCTTTAATCATATTTTGAGTTAATAGATGGAAAATTTGTTGGGTTGTTAATTACTGTACAAAATTTCAGACAATTTGCTTTAGTTTAAACCCTTTAACTATTCACGCAAACTTACATTTTTTCCCTCTGCGTTTTTTCTTTAAAAAATCAGCTATTTGCATGCTAATTATGCATTTGCCTAATTTGCATATGTCAGCAATATGCAAATTAGGTAAAAGCATTAATTAAGCATGCGAAAGGCTAATTTTTTAGAGAAAAATGAATACTAAACTAAAGCAAATTGTCTGGAATTTTGTACAGTAATTAAATTTTCCATCTATCAAACTAATATCCATCTATCAAATATAATATAATAATATCCATCTAATTTTCCATCTATCAAACTAATATTCCATCTATCAGACTAATATCCCTAAACTTTCTCCCACTTGAACACAGGCGTGAACTTTATGACCTAACACTATTATACAAAATCAAATACAACCTTATTAATGTCACCTTTAACCAATACCTTACACCTGCAACTAACC